AAAAGAAAACGTTTTCACTTATTCAAGTAGTGTAAATTTGACAAACTTGACGTGTTTTGATCGTCGTGTTTTATAATTCATTCAGTTTTTGATAGACATGTGACATGTCATGAAATTAGTTAAACCGGAAATTATCTGTACATTTTAACATCGGTTTTTTTCTTTCAAAATCAATTCGGGAAGATTTGTCTAATCTTGGGGGCGTTTTTAATAAAAAACAATAATTCCACTCGCTCATGTTGGATATCCAACGCACGCTCGTGGAATAATTGTTAATTATCATCACTCAAGAGACAAACATTGCAGATAAACTAAACTCACCAACTCAATTCACCTAAGATAACGTTAAAGAGGCGTAAAAAATACGTAAACAAAGAAATGCAAAGGTGCAAAAAGGAGTACTACTCAAACCTACTCTCCTGAAAATTGAAAATTCCGAAATCAAAATTTCGGCTACGTTGAAGATTATAAGCCAAAATCTTAAATTCAAGATTATAGCTTTCCAAAATCCTGAATTCAAGATTCTGGTTGACTTCAAAATTTTAGCTTTTAAAAATCCTAAATTCAAGATTTTAGTTTTCCAAAATCATGAATTCAAGATTTTTGCTCACTTCAAGGTGTTACCTTTACAAAATCCTGAATTCAAGACTTTGGCCGACTTCAAGATTTAAGCTTTCCAAAACACTAAATTAAAAAGTTTTGCTTTTTCAAATTTTAAATTCAACATTTTGGCGGACTTCAGCAATTCTGCTTTCCAAAATCCTAAGGTCAGCCAAAATCTTAAATTCAGGATTATGGAAAGCTAAGATCTTGAAGTCAGCCAAAATCTTGCATTCAGGATTTTGAAAAGATAAAATCTTAAATTTAGCATTTTGGAAAGCTAAAATCTTAAAGTCAGCCAAAATCTTGCATATACAATTTTGGAAAGCTAAAATATTTGCAACGGCCAAAATCTTGAATTAAGGATTTTGCAAAGCTAAGATCTTGAAGTCAGCCAAAATCTTGAATTCAGGATTTTGCAAAGCTAAAGTCTTCAAGTCAGCCAAAATCTTGAATTCAGGATTTGGAAAGCCAAGATCTTGAAGTCAGCCAAAATCTTGAATTCAGGATTTTGGAAAGCTAAAATCTTGAATCCAGCCAAAATCTTGAATTCAGGATTTTGTAAAGCTAAAATCTTGAAATATGCCAAAATCTTGAATTCAAGATTTTGGAAAGCTAAAATCTTAAAGTCAGCTAAAATCTTGAATTCACGATTTGGAAAGCTAAGATCTTGAAGTCAGCAAGAATCTTGAATTCAGGATTTTGGAACGCTAAAATCTTCAATTCAGCCAAAATTCAAAATTTTGACCGATTTCAACATTTTAGCTTTCAAAAAGCCTGAATTCAAGATTTTAGCCGATTTCAAGATTTTAGCTTTCCAAAATACTGAATTCAAGATTTTGGCCGATTTCAAGATTTTATCTTTCCAGAATACAGAATTCCAGGTTTTGGCCGATTTCAACATTTAAGTTTTCCAAAATGCTGAATTCAAGATTTTGGCCGCTTTAAAGATTTTTGCTTTTCAATATCCAGAATTAAAGTTTTTGACCGATTTCAAGACTTTAGCTTTTCGAACTCCTGATTTTTAAGATTTTAGGCGATTTCAAGATCTTAGCTTTCCAAAATACTGAATCCAAGATTTTGGCCGATTTCAAGATTTTAGCTTTCCAAAATCCAGAATTCCAGCTTTTGGCTGATTTCAACATTCTAGCTTTCCAAAATGCTGAATTCAAGATTCTTGCGGATTTCAAGATTTTAGCTTTCCAAAATCCTGAATTCAACATTTTGAGGGATTTCAAGATTTTAAATTTCAAAACTACTAAATTCAAGATTTTGGCTGACTTCAAGATTTTAACTTTTCAAAATCCTGAATTAAAGATTTTTGCCGATTTCGAGATTTTAGCTTTCCAAAATCCTGAATTCAAGATTTTGGCCGATTTCAAGATTTTTTCTTTCCAATATTTTGAATTCAAGATTTTGGCCGATTTCAAGATTTTAGCCTTCCAAAATCCTGAATTCAAGATTTTGCCCGATTTGAAGATCTTAGGTTTCCAAAATCCAGAAATCCCGATTTGGCCAATTTCAAGGTTTTAGCTTTTAAAATCCCGAATTCCAGATTTTGATCGATTTCAAGATTTTAGCTTTTAAAAATCCTGAATTCAAGATTGTGGCCGATTTTAAGATTGCAGATTTCCGAATACCTGAATTCAAGATTTTTGACGATTTCAAGATTTTAGCTTTCCAAAATCCTGAATTGAAGATTTTGGCCGATTTCAAGATTTTAGCTTACCAAAACCCTGAATTTAAGATTTTGGTCGATTTCAAGATTTTAGCTTGCCAAAATCCACAATTAAAGGCTTTGGCTGATTTCATGATTTTAGCTGTCGAAAATGCTAAATTGAAGATTTTGACCGATTTCAAGATTTTAGTTTCCCAAACTCCTGACTTCAAGATTTTAGCTTATTTCAAGATTTTAGCCTTCGAAAATCCAGAATTGAAGGTTTTCGCTGATTCCAACATTTTAGCTTTCCAAAATGCTGAATTCAAGATTTTCGCCGATTTCAAGATTTTAGCTTTCCAAACTACTAAATTCAAGATTTTGGCTGACGTCAAGATTTTAGCTTTTCAAAATCGTGAGTTCAAGATTTTGGCAGATTTCAAGATTTTGGCAGATTTCAAGATTTTAGCTTTCCATTACCCTGAATTCAAGATTTTGGCCGTTTTCAAGATTTTACCTTTCCAATATCGTGAATTTAAGATTGTGGCCGATTTCTGGATTTAGCTGTCCAATATTCTGAATTCAAGATTATGGCCGATTTCAAGATTTTAGCTTTCCAAAATTCCAAATTCAAGATTTTGGCCGATTTCAAGATTTGAGCTTTCCGAAATCCTGAATTCAAGATTTCGGCCGATTTCAAGATTTTAGCTTACCAATATCCTGAATTCAAGATTTTGGCCGATTTCAAGATTTTAGCTTTCCAAAGTCCTGATTTTTAAGATTTTTGCCGATTTCAAGATCTTAGCTTTCCAAAATACTGAATTCAACATTTTGGCCGATTTCAAGATTTTAGCTTTCCAAAATCCAGTATTCCAGGTTTTGGCTGACTTCAACATTTTAGCTTTCCAGAAAGCTGAATTCAACATTTTGAGGTATTTCAAGATTTTAGGTTTCCAAAATCCTGAATTCAACATTTTGAGGGATTTTAAGATTTTAGCTTTCCAATATCCTGAATTCAAGATTTTCGCCGATTTCAATATTTTAGCTTTACAAAATCCTGAAATCAAGATTTCGGCTGATTTGAAGATTTTAGCTTTTTAATATAATGAATTCAAGATTTTGGCGGTTTTCAAATTTTAGCTTTCCAAAATGCTGAATTCAACATTTTGGCCGATTTCAAGAATTTAGCTGTCCAATATCCTGAATTCAAGATTGTGGCGGATTTTAAGATTTTAGCTTTCCAAAATCCTGAATTCAAGATTTTGGCCGATTTCCAGATTTTAGCTTTCCAAAATCCTGAATTCAAGATTTTGGCCGCTTTCAAGATTTTAGCTTTCCAAAATCCTGAATTCATGATTTTGACCGATCTCAAGATTTTAGGTTTCCGAAATCCCTCATTCAAGATTTTGGCCGATTTCAAGATTTAGCCTTCCAAAATCCTGAATTCAAGATTTTGGCCGATTTGAAGATTTTAGCTTTCCAAAATCCAGAATTCCCGATTTTTGCAAATTTCAAGGTTTTAGCTTTTACAATCCAGAATTCCAGATTTTGACTGATTTCAAGATGTTAGCTTTTCAAAATCCTGAATTCAAGATTATGGCCGCTTTCAAGATTTTAGCTTTCCAACATCCTGAATTCAAGATTTTGGCCGATTTCAAGATTTTAGCTTACCAAAATCCAGAATTAAAGGCTTTGGCTGATTGCAAGATTTTAGCTTTCCAAAATCCAGAATTCAAGGTTTTCGCTGATTCCAACATTTTAGCTTTCCAAAATGCTGAATTCAAGATTTTCGCCGATTTCAAGATTTTAGCTCTCCAAACTCCTAAATTCAAGATTTTAGCTTTCCATTACCCTGAATTCAAGATTTTGGCCGTTTTCAAGACTTTACCTTTCCAATATCGTGAATTTAAGATTGTGGCCGATTTTAGGATTTAGCTGTCCAATATTCTGAATTCAAGATTTTGGCCGATTTCAAGATTTTAGCTTTCCGAAATCCTGAATTCAAGATTTTGGCCGATTTCAAGATCTCAGCTTTCGAAAATCCTGAATTCAAGATTTAAGCCGATTTCAAGATTTTAGCTTTCGAAGATCCCGAACGCAAAATTTTGACCGCTTTTAAGATTTTAACATTCCAAAATCCTGAATTTAGGATTTTTGCCGATTTCGAGATTTTAGGTTTTGCGAAATCCTGAATTCAAAATTTTGGCCGATTTCAAGATTTTTGCTTTCCAAAATTTTGAATTCAAGATTTTGGCCGATTTTAAGATCTTAGCCTTCCAAAATCCTGAATTCAAGATTTTGGCTGATTTTAAGATTTTAGCTTTCCAAAATCCTGAATTGAAGATCTTAGCCGATTTCAAGATTTTAGCTTTCCAAAATCCTGAATTCAAGATTTTGGCTGATTTCAAGATTTTAGCTTTCCAAAATCCTGTATTCAAGATCTTGGGCGATTCAACAATTTAGCTTTAAAAAATCCTGAATTCAAAATTTTGTTGGATTTCAAGACTTTAGCTTTCCAAAATCCAGAATTCAAAATTTCGGCCGATTTCAAGATTTTAGCTTTCCAAAATCCTAAATTCGAGATTCTGGCCGATTTTAAGATTTTAGCTTTCCAAAATCCTAAATTCGAGATTCTGGCCGATTTTAAGATTTTAGCTTTCGAAAATCCTAAATTTAAGATTTTTCCAGATTTCAAGATTTTAGGCTTGCAAAATCCTGAATTAAAGATCTTAGCCGATTTCAAGATTCTAGCTTTCCAACATTTCGGCTTCAACGTCTTGGCCAACTTTGACAATTTAATTTTAAAAAATCTTGAATTTAAAATTTTTTTCTGATTTTAAGATTTTAACTTTCCAAAATCCTGAATTCAAGATTTTGGTTGATTTCAAGAGTTTAGCTTTCCAAAATCCTTAATTCAAGATTTTGGCCGATTTCAATATTTTAGCTTTTCAAAATCCTGAATTCAAGAGTTTGGCCGATTCCAAGATCTCAGCTTTCGAAAATCCTGAATTCGAGATTTTGGCCGATTTCAAGATTTTAGCTTTCTAAAATCCCGAATGCAAAATTTTGACCGCTTTTAAGATTTCAACATTCCAAAATCCTGAATTCAAGATTTTGGCGGATTTCAAGATTTTAGCTTTCCAATATCCTGAATTCTAGATTTTGGCCGATTTTAAGATTTTAGCTTTCCAAAATCCTAAAATTAACATTTTGTCAGATTTAAGGATTTTAGCTTTCCAAAATCCTGAATTCAAGATCTTACCCGATTTCAAGATTTTAGCTTTCCTAAATCCTGAATTCAAGATCTTACCCGATTTCAACATTTTAGCTTTCCAATTTTAGCTTCCACAGTCATCGCCCGATCCAAGCAAACAGCGAGGAAGTCCACCGGAGGAAAAGTGCCTGGCAAACAGCTGGCTACTAAGGCAGCTGGAAAGAGCGCTTCTGCTACTGGTGGCGTGAAAAAACCGCACCGTTACAGGCCAGCAACAGTGGCCCTCAGAGAGATCCGTCGTTTTCTAAAGTCCACCGAGTTACTGTTTCGCAAGTTACTGTTTCAGTGTCTTGTTGGAGAAATCGCTCAGGATTTCAAGACCGACTTGCGCTTTCAAAGGTCAGCCGAGTTGGCTCGTTAAGAGGCTAGCGAAGCCAACCTGCGAGGTCTTTTCGAGGACACCAACCCTTGCGCCATTCATGCTAAACGTATCACCATTATGTCTAAAGATATCCAGTTGGCTCGTAGGATCCGGGGCGAACGTGTATAACAGCTCAGCTCGGTTCTGACAATCTCACATTACAAACGGCTCCTTTAGGAGCCACCACCTGACAATAAAAGTTAATGGCCAATAAACTACTTCTTACCTTGTCTCTACTTATTTCTTTATTAGTTACTAGTAAAACGAGACAGCAATAATTCTCATACTCTAACCGTTACAGGTTTTTCGCGATAATACACACAACAAAAGCGCTGCACACGACACAGTAGAGTACTAGTATCTCTAAGCTTACCAAAAAATTAGTGATTGCGCCCAACATCTCCTTATTCGTTCAGTTAATCTCTCTGCCTGTCTTCCTAAGTTGACGTTTACAATCCCTCATATTTTCAAAGAACTTATGAAACGTCTTAGAGGTAACAGATCTATCGCGATCAGTAGTAACTGATCCCCCTGCGGTCCGCTATAACAACTTACGAAAAGAGGTGCGCAAGTAACCAACATTAGCCAGTCATGGCGCGAACCAAGCAAACAGCAAGAAACTCCACCGGCGGAAGAGCGCCTCGTAAACAGCTGGCTACTAAGGCAGCTCGAAAGAGCCCTCCCGCTACTGGTGGCGTGAAAAAAACCGCACCGTTCCAGGGCAGGAACAGTGGCCCTCAGAGACATCCGTCTTTATCGGAAGTCCACCGAGTTGCTAATTCTCAAGTTACCGTTTCAGCGTCTTGTTGGAGAAATCGCTCAGGATTTCAAGACCGACTTGCGCTTTCAAAGGTCAGCCGTGCTGGCTCTTCAAGAGGCTATTCTCATACTCTACTCCGTTACAGGTTTTTCGCGATAATACACACAACACAAGCGCTGCACAAGATACAGTGGAGTACTAGTATCTCTAAGCCTACCAAACAATTAGTGATTGCGCCCAACAGCTTTTTATTCGTTCAGTTAATCTCTCTGCCTGTCTTCCTAAGTTGACGTTTACAATCCATCTCACTTTCAAAGAACTTTGCAAACGTCTTATAGGTAAGAGATCTATCGCGATCAGTAGTAACTGATCCCCCTGCGGTCCGCTATAACAACTTACGAAAAGAGGTGCGCAAGTAACCAACATTAGCTATCGCTGAAAAGACTATAACGAGATATGTCTGCCTAAAGCACCCAGAAGAAAACTTTTAAAGAGCCGGCCGAACACCCTAAGTATGCAGAAATGATCTTACAAGCCCTTCACGCCCTGAAAGATCGTAATGGTTCTTCGCGTCAGGCTGTCGACAAGTACGTTAAGAACCATTTCAAAGTGGGAGAAAAAGCAAGTCATTTTTATTAAAATGGCTCTTAAGAGAGGCGTGGAGAGTGGTCAGTTTATCAACACCAAAGGGTCCGGAGCTTCAGGTTCTTTCAAGGTCAACAAAGAAGTACACAAAGCAAAGGCAGCCAAAGACCCGGCGAAGAAGACCAAAACCGCTGATCCGGCCAACAAACCAAAAATAAAGAAGGTCGCCGCGAAAGAAAAGACCGCCCGCAAACCAGCCGAGAAAATTAAGAAATCGCCGGGTAAGAAAGTTTCCAGCAGCAAGAAGAAGACACCTCTCGTGGCAAAGAAGACTGCCACAAAGAAGCCGTTGCCCAAGAAAGCGAAAGAAAGCAAAGCCTCGGTTAAGAAAAAAGGCCAACAAGAAAGTCAGTGGCAAGTAAAACCGCCCACTTATTCAACTACCGGCTCCTTTAGGAGCCACCAAATAAAGAAAAGTCATCACTAATATCACTTCTAGTATGTTGACCTTATCAAAATCCAGAATTAAAGGCTTTGGCTGATTGCAAGATTTTAGCTTTCCAAAATCCAGAATTCAAGGTTTTCGCTGATTCCAACATTTTAGCTTTCCAAAATGCTGAATTCAAGATTTTCGCCGATTTCAAGATTTTAGCTCTCCAAACTCCTAAATTCAAGATTTTAGCTTTCCATTACCCTGAATTCAAGATTTTGGCCGTTTTCAAGACTTTACCTTTCCAATATCGTGAATTTAAGATTGTGGCCGATTTTAGGATTTAGCTGTCCAATATTCTGAATTCAAGATTTTGGCCGATTTCAAGATTTTAGCTTTCCGAAATCCTGAATTCAAGATTTTGGCCGATTTCAAGATCTCAGCTTTCGAAAATCCTGAATTCAAGATTTAAGCCGATTTCAAGATTTTAGCTTTCGAAGATCCCGAACGCAAAATTTTGACCGCTTTTAAGATTTTAACATTCCAAAATCCTGAATTTAGGATTTTTGCCGATTTCGAGATTTTAGGTTTTGCGAAATCCTGAATTCAAAATTTTGGCCGATTTCAAGATTTTTGCTTTCCAAAATTTTGAATTCAAGATTTTGGCCGATTTTAAGATCTTAGCCTTCCAAAATCCTGAATTCAAGATTTTGGCTGATTTTAAGATTTTAGCTTTCCAAAATCCTGAATTGAAGATCTTAGCCGATTTCAAGATTTTAGCTTTCCAAAATCCTGAATTCAAGATTTTGGCTGATTTCAAGATTTTAGCTTTCCAAAATCCTGTATTCAAGATCTTGGGCGATTCAACAATTTAGCTTTAAAAAATCCTGAATTCAAAATTTTGTTGGATTTCAAGACTTTAGCTTTCCAAAATCCAGAATTCAAAATTTCGGCCGATTTCAAGATTTTAGCTTTCCAAAATCCTAAATTCGAGATTCTGGCCGATTTTAAGATTTTAGCTTTCCAAAATCCTAAATTCGAGATTCTGGCCGATTTTAAGATTTTAGCTTTCGAAAATCCTAAATTTAAGATTTTTCCAGATTTCAAGATTTTAGGCTTGCAAAATCCTGAATTAAAGATCTTAGCCGATTTCAAGATTCTAGCTTTCCAACATTTCGGCTTCAACGTCTTGGCCAACTTTGACAATTTAATTTTAAAAAATCTTGAATTTAAAATTTTTTTCTGATTTTAAGATTTTAACTTTCCAAAATCCTGAATTCAAGATTTTGGTTGATTTCAAGAGTTTAGCTTTCCAAAATCCTTAATTCAAGATTTTGGCCGATTTCAATATTTTAGCTTTTCAAAATCCTGAATTCAAGAGTTTGGCCGATTCCAAGATCTCAGCTTTCGAAAATCCTGAATTCGAGATTTTGGCCGATTTCAAGATTTTAGCTTTCTAAAATCCCGAATGCAAAATTTTGACCGCTTTTAAGATTTCAACATTCCAAAATCCTGAATTCAAGATTTTGGCGGATTTCAAGATTTTAGCTTTCCAATATCCTGAATTCTAGATTTTGGCCGATTTTAAGATTTTAGCTTTCCAAAATCCTAAAATTAACATTTTGTCAGATTTAAGGATTTTAGCTTTCCAAAATCCTGAATTCAAGATCTTACCCGATTTCAAGATTTTAGCTTTCCTAAATCCTGAATTCAAGATCTTACCCGATTTCAACATTTTAGCTTTCCAATTTTAGCTTCCACAGTCATCGCCCGATCCAAGCAAACAGCGAGGAAGTCCACCGGAGGAAAAGTGCCTGGCAAACAGCTGGCTACTAAGGCAGCTGGAAAGAGCGCTTCTGCTACTGGTGGCGTGAAAAAACCGCACCGTTACAGGCCAGCAACAGTGGCCCTCAGAGAGATCCGTCGTTTTCTAAAGTCCACCGAGTTACTGTTTCGCAAGTTACTGTTTCAGTGTCTTGTTGGAGAAATCGCTCAGGATTTCAAGACCGACTTGCGCTTTCAAAGGTCAGCCGAGTTGGCTCGTTAAGAGGCTAGCGAAGCCAACCTGCGAGGTCTTTTCGAGGACACCAACCCTTGCGCCATTCATGCTAAACGTATCACCATTATGTCTAAAGATATCCAGTTGGCTCGTAGGATCCGGGGCGAACGTGTATAACAGCTCAGCTCGGTTCTGACAATCTCACATTACAAACGGCTCCTTTAGGAGCCACCACCTGACAATAAAAGTTAATGGCCAATAAACTACTTCTTACCTTGTCTCTACTTATTTCTTTATTAGTTACTAGTAAAACGAGACAGCAATAATTCTCATACTCTAACCGTTACAGGTTTTTCGCGATAATACACACAACAAAAGCGCTGCACACGACACAGTAGAGTACTAGTATCTCTAAGCTTACCAAAAAATTAGTGATTGCGCCCAACATCTCCTTATTCGTTCAGTTAATCTCTCTGCCTGTCTTCCTAAGTTGACGTTTACAATCCCTCTTATTTTCAAAGAACTTATGAAACGTCTTAGAGGTAACAGATCTATCGCGATCAGTAGTAACTGATCCCCCTGCGGTCCGCTATAACAACTTACGAAAAGAGGTGCGCAAGTAACCAACATTAGCCAGTCATGGCGCGAACCAAGCAAACAGCAAGAAACTCCACCGGCGGAAGAGCGCCTCGTAAACAGCTGGCTACTAAGGCAGCTCGAAAGAGCCCTCCCGCTACTGGTGGCGTGAAAAAAACCGCACCGTTCCAGGGCAGGAACAGTGGCCCTCAGAGACATCCGTCTTTATCGGAAGTCCACCGAGTTGCTAATTCTCAAGTTACCGTTTCAGCGTCTTGTTGGAGAAATCGCTCAGGATTTCAAGACCGACTTGCGCTTTCAAAGGTCAGCCGTGCTGGCTCTTCAAGAGGCTATTCTCATACTCTACTCCGTTACAGGTTTTTCGCGATAATACACACAACACAAGCGCTGCACAAGATACAGTGGAGTACTAGTATCTCTAAGCCTACCAAACAATTAGTGATTGCGCCCAACAGCTTTTTATTCGTTCAGTTAATCTCTCTGCCTGTCTTCCTAAGTTGACGTTTACAATCCATCTCACTTTCAAAGAACTTAGCAAACGTCTTAGAGGTAACAGACCTATCGCGATCAGTAGTAACTGATCCCCCTGCGGTCCGCTATAACAACTTACGAAAAGAGGTGCGCAAGTAACCAACATTAGCTATCGCTGAAAAGACTATAACGAGACATGTCTGCCTAAAGCACCCAGAAGAAAACTTTTAAAGAGCCGGCCGAACACCCTAAGTATGCAGAAATGATCTTACAAGCCCTTCACGTCCTGAAAGATCGTAATGGTTCTTCGCGTCAGGCTGTCGACAAGTACGTTAAGAACCATTTCAAAGTGGGAGAAAAAGCAAGTCATTTTTATTAAAATGGCTCTTAAGAGAGGCGTGGAGAGTGGTCAGTTTATCAACACCAAAGGGTCCGGAGCTTCAGGTTCTTTCAAGGTCAACAAAGAAGTACACAAAGCAAAGGCAGCCAAAGACCCGGCGAAGAAGACCAAAACCGCTGATCCGGCCAACAAACCAAAAATAAAGAAGGTCGCCGCGAAAGAAAAGACCGCCCGCAAACCAGCCGAGAAAATTAAGAAATCGCCGGGTAAGAAAGTTTCCAGCAGCAAGAAGAAGACACCTCTCGTGGCAAAGAAGACTGCCACAAAGAAGCCGTTGCCCAAGAAAGCGAAAGAAAGCAAAGCCTCGGTTAAGAAAAAAGGCCAACAAGAAAGTCAGTGGCAAGTAAAACCGCCCACTTATTCAACTACCGGCTCCTTTAGGAGCCACCAAATAAAGAAAAGTCATCACTAATATCACTTCTAGTATGTTGACCTTAAGTCACCTTGACCTATAGCACAGTGTTTATTTCTCCTTTGCCGAAACTAATTTCGTTTTTGTTGAGCAGACGGTTACTTGAACCGCGGCTTGGAGACGCCTTAAAAGAGTAAACAAAAGCCACTCCATAAGATCAGATCTGATCAGATCAGATAAGATAAATACTTTTTATTTGAAGTGGTCAGTACATGCACCTTAGTCAAGAAACTGGTTATCAGGTACTCGGGTAACGAAAAGTACCGTAAACATCAATATTCAATAGTAACAATCCCTCCCGCTTAACTGATTTGAAGTATTAAAACCCTTACATCCCAGAAAATATATATTTGCAGGCTGGTAAACCGTTCTCTTGTTCTCAAGTGCAGTACCGAAATGACCTTTTCATGCCTGTAACACTTTTAAGTAACGTTGTTTTACGAACTACTTCAGTTGATTCTCTGGCGTGGTGTAGTGGTCATCGGGCTGGGAAAGAGATTTTGCGGAAATTGTTGGGTTCGGTGCGTGTTGTCAACCAGCAATCTTTTATTTATTTTTTTTCTTCTTTTCTCTTTGCTTACATAAATATCATCTTATCAAACCTTTATCTGTATTTTTTTTGTGTACAAAGTAAAGTTGAACCGGGAAATAGAGGAATGATTTGTTCGTTCATTGAAATTTTTTAATGGGAGCAAGTGTGCGAAGCGTGTCAGGGTTTATAATGACGATTGAAACATATAAGAAACTGTGTTGATCATTGGTTTTTTTGACATTTGGTGGCTCCTAAAAGAGCCGTTGTTTAAATCTGGTATTGAAGAATGGACTTCACTTGCTACTAGCGTACTTCGTGACGGCCTTGGTACCCTCACTGACTGCATGCTTTGCGAGTTCTCCTGGAAGGAGCAGTCTGATGGCTGTCTGAATCTCTCGGGAGCTTATAGGGGATTTCTTGTTGTAGTGGGCTAGACGGGAGGATCCTGTAGCAATGCGCTTAAAGATATCGTTCACGAAAGAGTTCATGATACCCATTGCTTTGCTGGAGATTCCGGTATCAGGATGTACCTGCTTTATCACTTTGTAGATGTAGATCGCATAACTCTCCTTCCGTTTCGATCGCCGTTTTTCCTACTGTCGCCCGACTCGTATTTTGCCTTACCGCCGCTCTTCGGTAACCCCTTATAACCCCCTGTAACCTCTTGTAACCCCCTGAGACCTCCTGTAATTCCTTGTGATCCCCTGTAACTCCATGTAACGCCTTGTAACCCTCTGTAAGCCCTTGTAACCTTCTGTAACCTCCTATAACCCCTGGTAGTCCCTGTAACCCCCTTAACTCCTTGTAACCCGCTAAAACCAACTGTAATGCCTTGTAACCCCCCGTAAGACTTGCAACCCCCAGGAACCTCCTGTAACCACTTGTAACCCCCTGTAACCTCTTGTAACCCTCTGTAACCTCTTGTAAGCCCCTCTAACCCCTTGTAACACCTTTTAAACGCTTGTATCCCCTTGTAACCCTCTGTAACGCTCTGTAACCCCCTATAGCCTTTTATAACCCTCTGTAAGCCCTTGGAACGCCTTGTAATCCCTGTAACCTATTGTAACCCTCTGTAACCACTTGTAACCCCTTATAACCCCCTGTACCCTCCTGTAACCCCATGAAACCTCCTGTAACCCCTTGTAACCTCCCTGTAACCTTCTGTAAGCCCTTGAAACCCCCCGTTACCTCTTGTAACCCCTTGCAACCCCCTGTAACCCCCTTTAACCCCTTGTAACCCTCTGTAACCAGTTGTAATCCCCTGTAACCCCTTGTAACCCCCGGTAACTTCCTGTAACCCCCGTAACCCCTATTAACCCCCTGTAACCCCTTGTTACCCTCTCTAACCTCTTGTAACCCTATGAAACCTTCTGTAACCCCTTTTAATCCCCTGTAACCTTCTGTAACCCCTTGTAACGCCTTGTAACCCTCTGTAACCCCTTGTAACCCTCTGAAACCCCTTGTAACCCTCTCTAAGTACTTCTAACCCCTTGTAACCTCCTGCAACCAATTGTAACCCTCTGTTACGCCTTGTAACCCCTGCAACCCCTTGTAACCCTCTGTAACCCCATGTAACCCCTTGTAACCCCTTGTAACCTCTTGAAACCCTTTGCAACCCTCTGCAACCCCTTGTAGCACCCTGTATTCTCCTGATAACCCCTTATAAAACTCCTGTAGGCCCATGTAACCCCCATAACCCTCTGTAACCACTTGTAACCCTCTTTAACCCCTCATAACACCCCGTGTAACCCTCTGTAACCACTTGTAACTCCCTGCAACCTCTTGTAATCCCATGCAACCTCCTGTAACCCATTGTAACCCCTTGTAACCACTTTTAACCCCCTGGAACTCCTTGAAACCCCTTGTAACCCCTAGTAACCCCTGTAACCTATTGTAACCCTCTGTAACCCCCATGTAACCTCTTGTAAACTCTTGTAACCCTTTGCAACCCTCTGCAACCCCTTGTAGCACCCTGTATTCTCCTGATAACCCCTTATAAAACCCCTGTAGGCCCATGTAACCCCCATAACCCTCTGTAACCACTTGTAACCCTCTTTAACCCCTTGTAACCCCTTGAAACCCCTTATAACCCTCTGTAAACCCTTGTAACCTATTGTAACCCCTGTAACCTATTGTAACCCTCTGTAACCCCTATTAACCCCCTGTAACCCCTTGTTACCCTCTGTAACCTCTTGTAGCCCCATGAAACCTTCTGTAACCTCTTTTGATCCCCTGTAACCTTCTGTAACCCCTTGTAACCCCTTGTAACCTCCCCTAAGTACTTGTAACCCCTTGTAACCTCCTTTAACCCATTGTAACCCTCTGTAACGCCTTGTAAGTAAGTAAGTAAGTAAGTTTATTAAATCTCCAGCCAGTGGCTCTTCCGATTTAATTTAAAATAATTAGAAATCGAATAAAAACTACTTATAAAAATTACAATAAGATCATGATAAAAAAACTGATCCAAATAAATAAATTAACCTATTCTAAAAATTCTAATCCTAAAAATTGCTACGAACTATTATATATTTCGCGCTTTACTGCGCGCTTGAAAACTGAGAGTGTTGCGCTATTTTTCGTTTCTTTACTTATAAGATAATTCCAAGCAGTGATTGCTCTGTAAGTAAAGGACCTCTGTGCTGTGGCTGTCCTACAAAGGGGTACGACTAAATTGTCCCTAGATATAGTATTGTAGCTGTGGATAGCTGATCTTTTGTTGACGTAACACTCTAAATATGGTGGTGCAAGGGCATTAACTATTTTGTATAGCATCGTAGCATCACGCACTAGTAACTGATTCTTAACAGAAGGCCAACACAGTGCACGCAGCACTGGTGAGTTATGATCAAATTTCTTGGTGTTAGTCAACACACGGGCGGCGAAGTTTTGTACAAGTTGCAGTTTGTTTATGTTGTGCACAAACGTTCCAGACCAGACAGTCGAGCAATAAAAAAGTTTACAAAAAAACTAGACAGTTCAGAATGGTGGTAAGTACTGATTTAGAAAACAGGTGCCTAACTCTGCTTATCTGGCATAGGATAGAAATAAGAGACGAGGTCAGAGTGTTAACGTGTTCATTAAAAGTAAGGTTCGAGTCCAAAATTATACCCAGGTCTGTAACCCATTCTAACCCTCTGTAACCCCCTGTAGCCGCTTGTAACAAAATGTCACCCCCTCTAACTTTTTTTAACCCCTTTAACTCCCTGTAACCTCTTATAACCTCCTGTAACCCCTTGTAACCCATTGTAACCCCTTGTAACCCTCTGTAACCCCTTGTAACCCCCTGTAACCATTTTAACCCGTTGTAACCCTCTGTACCCCATTGTAACACCAAGAAACCCCTTGTAACCATCTGTAACCCGATGTAACCCCTTGTAATCCCCTGTAACCTCCTGTAACCCCTTTTAACCTCTGGTAACTCTTTGTAATCCTCTGTAACCCCTATTAGCTCCCTGTAACCCCTTTTAACCTTCTGTAACCTCTTGTAATCCCCTGTAACCTCCTGTATTCCCTTGTAACTCCGTGTAAGCCCTTGTGACCCTTTGTAACCCCCTGTTACCTGTTGTAACCCCATAAAACCTTCAGTAACCACTTTTAATCCCCTGTTACCTTCTATAACCCCTTGTAAGCCCCTGTAACCTCTTGTAACCCCACGTAACCTCCTGTAACTCATTGTAATCCCGTGTAACTTTCTGTAGATTGTAGCTAAATGTCGTGGGTCCTGGGTGGGCGCCGTGGGTTTGGATGCGGTTAAATGTCGTGAGTAAGAAAAACGTCTTGAAAAAAACCCCTGTAACCCCTTGTAACCCCCTGTCACCTCCTGTAACCCCTTGTAACCTTCTGTAACCGCCTGTAATCCCCTGTAACCCCTTGTAACCTTCTGTAAGCTCTTGTAACCCCTTGTAACCCCCGTAACCTCTTGTAACCCCCTGTAACGTCTTCCACCACCCTGTAACCCCTTGAACTCCTTTTAACCCCGCTGTAACCCCTTGTAACCCCCTGCAAGCACTTGTAACCTCTGTAACCCCTTGCTACCCCCTGTAATTTCTTGTATCCCTATGAAACCTCTTGTAACCCGTTGTAGCCCTCTGTAAGCTCTTGTAACACCCAGTAACCTCTTGTAACCCATTGTAACCCTCTGAAACCCAATGTATCCCTCTGTAACCGATTGTAACCCCCTCTAACCTCTTGTAACCCCGTGTAACCTCCTGTAACCCCTGTAACACCCTGTTACCCCTTGCAACCCGCTCTCACCACTTGTAAACCCCTTTAAGCCTTTGTAACCCTCTGTAACCCCATGTAACCCTCTGTAACCCCTTGTTACCCTATGTAACCCCTTGTAACCCTTTGTAACACATTGTAACCCCCTGTAACTACCTGTAACCCCTAGCAACCTCTTGTAACTCCCTTTGACCCTCTGTAACCCCTTCTAACCCCTTGTAACCTCCTGTAACCAGTTGTAACCCCCTCTAACCTTTTGTAACACCCTTAACCCTTGTAACACCCTGCAACCTCCTGTAACCACTTGTAACCCTCCATAACCCCTTGTAACCCCCTGTATCCCCTTGTAACCCCAAGTAACCTACTGTAACCCCTTGAAACCCCCTCTAACGCCTTGTACCCCTCTGTAACCCTTTGTAACCCCCTGTAACGTCTTGTAATCACATAAACCCTTGTAACCCCTTGTAACCTTCCGTAACCTCTTGCAACCCTCTGTAAGCCCTCGTAAGCCCTGTAACCCATTCTAACCCTCTGTAACCCCCTGTAACCCCTTGTAACCCCCTATAACTCTTTTTAACCCCTGTAACTCCCTGTAACCCCTTGCAACACTCTGTAACCTCTTATAACCTCCTCTAACTTCTTGTAACTCCCTGTAACCTTTTGTAACCCTCTGTAACCCCTTGTAACCTCTTGTAAACCAACGTAACCTCCTGTAACTTGTTTGAAATCCAGTCTAACTTTCTGTAGAGTGTAGCTAAATGTCGTGGGACCTGGGTTTTTTCGTAGGTTTGGGTGTGGGTAAATGTCGTGGGTAAGAAAAACGTCTTGCAAAAAAACCCCCTGTAACCCCCTGTAACCCCATGTAACCCCCTGTCACCTCCTATAACCCCTTGTAACCTTCTGTAACCCCCTGTAATCCCCTGTAACCCCTTGTAACCCTCTGTAACCCCCTGTAACCCCTTGTAACCCCTTGTAACCCTCTGTAACCAAATGTAACCCCTTGTAATCCCCTGTAACCTCCCGTAACTCCTGGTTACCTCCCGTAACCCTTTTTAACCCTCTGTAACCCCTGTTAACCCCCTGTAAACCCTGTAACCCCTGTAACCTTCTGTAACCCCTTGTAACTTAATGTAACCACCATTAACCCCTTGTAAACCCCTGTAAGCCCTTGTGACTCCTTGTAATACCCTAAAACCTCTGG